TGGACTGGACAACTAGTTGTCTGTCACATCATACAGTGAAAGAGAGCAGTACTGCGCTGCACAAAAGCATGTCTACTGTGTGTTGTGGGTTATCGTGTGTGGTTTCGCTTTCAGTAACTTACAGCGAGCGACTTAGGCTATGTTTACGCGGAAACGATTCTGAAGAGAAAACTCAAAAGTGGCGTTGCGTCATCACTTTTTATTCTGCATTTAGACGAGCGTTTTGTGTGGGAAATCCGCGTGCAAATGGTGACGGAAAAGTGTGTGAAATTGAATGTAGTATGCACTTCAGGCGGCTAGGAGTGCATACTTACAACACCAAGTCCACACCCCTGCGTACAACCTTCACTGTCAAGCAGACTTTTGCGTTTTTACTGTTTACACGGGAACGCGGCGGTGGAGCGTTTTTAAGATTTTCACTCTGAAGGGTGGTTTCACTTTTTTGCGCTTTTAAGCCTCAAAAACGCAGTCGCCATGTAAACGAAAGGCACATCCGATAAAATATTTTTACGTTTTCACCCGCTAGCGTTCTCGTGTAAACAGGGCCTAAGATATAAGCTGTGTGTCATCTAAAGATTATACATTAGATCCAATCACTGTTCTATACCAGAGCTGCTTCCATCAGTTTTGTGTTATATGCACGAATCAAATGCTCTACTCTCCACCAGATAAAAACTGTTGTCGGTTAACGAAGATTTGACGGATGAACTCGCGACTCTACTCAGAGAAGTTGCTGTTTGTACGGGACATTTTGAGACTCACAGCTGTACGTAAATGCAGTTGTCAATTCCAAAAACTGACAGTGTGAATGTAGCCTTAGTAAACAGTAAACTTAGTTACAGTTGTCAGTCCCAAACTCTGACTGTATGAATGCAGCCACTGTGTATTCACACACTCTCTGTGTGATCATATTGCGAGGTCATGCTGACCAATTTAAATTTGAGACTTATCTTCAAATATTATTGTAACATCATCAGCATGTCTTCAAGTTGCATATCATGCTTTATTCCAGGCTTCCGTATCAATATTATTGATTTTTATGTGATGAGCAGGAAACAAAAAATATATAAAATCAGCTATTTATATAAGAAATATATCTCTTACATGATGACTTAATGTTCCCGCTATATACAAGACATGTAAAGATGGACATCAAGGCCATGTACATCCTAAATGTAACATACATCCATTAGACAAACACACACTTAGTCTAACATTTAATTACCCAGCCAGGGAGGAACAAAATGAAGCTTATTTCTGGATGCAGACACCAGACAGTGTCCCCACGCCCACGCTCCTTTGCTCTCTGCTCGTTACTGTCCTCGCACCAATCATTTAGTGACTTCGACAGACCTAATACATACAGAACTGCAGTGTGAGAAAAGAAGGAAAAGTGTGTCTGTGGTGCTCCACATGATCAAAAAAAAAAAAGCGTCAAAGAATAGAGGACAAAATGCTCTCGTTTTCCGCCGGATCCTCCTACTTGCCCCAGCCGCACATCACAGGGGTGCAGAAGCAGCCGGTCCTTTCTCTTCTTTTTGATTTGTGCTGGAGAAAAAGAAAGTGTTTGTCCCTAATTAGCTTCCCCTCTTCCCGCTTCCACACAAGATTTTAATTATGATTGGGTGTTGCGGTGGATGTGAAAGAAATGCATGGCTGACATCAAGGCGCCACTGGCCAGGAGAGATACGCCATGAGCCCTGCAAGCAGTCTCGTATTGTACGGAAGTCTTTGCTTCTTGGTGGAACAATGTCCTGTGAAGAAATTTGCAACCGTGAACTAGAGACGGGAAACTGGAGGCAGAGAGCAGAGGGCAACTTACAGCTGTGTGTTTGCAAAAGCAACAGCCATCGCAGCAGGCCTCCGAAGTCATGTTTCTCTAAAAGGTTTTGAATACGTGACTGGGAAGGCTCTGTTACAGCCCACATACTGGACATGTATGGATACGGCTGGGAAGTGGGAGCTTGTATTCTTGTATTCATTTGCAGGGGAATGTGTTAGGGATACCAAAGTCCTTTCAGGCAAGTCATGCCACTCGGCCGCCATCTTGGCAGCTATTTCGGACTTAACAAGACCAGGCTCTATCTAAATGAATGGGCAGAGAGTCAGAACTGCACTTTCACTGGTCACCGGGACGTAAAATATGATAAAAAAATCGCTGAAAAAGTTTGAAGACTTTGCCCTAAAATAAGGTTTGAAATGCCGTTTTCCCACAGGTTATACTTTTACTGCGCATGCGCAAGGGTTCTCTCGCTCTCTGTCGCGTGTGCGCTGCACAGTTTGACATGCACGCTCTTGCTCGATCGCTCTAGATTCCGGGAGATTTTAACTAATTTGCAGGCATCAGCGAGCCTCTATCAATCTGCGGGAGACTCCCGGAACTTCTGGGAGACTTGGGATGTCTGATATTTACACAATGCACACATAGACTGCATATCAAATCTGCCGCCTTTTCAAACAGTAACGTATTTAAATGTTTCCCAGCTTGACCGTTAAAAGCAGACAATTGGCTGTCCAGCGGGAGGGGCGGGGCATTTGCATACAACCGCCATCTTTGGTGTTACCTTTAGGTCTACATTTGTATTAAGGATTGAGGATGTGGCATGTCTCTATATAAATAGTCTCTGGGGATACACAAAAGAGGGAAAAACTAATATCCCTGCACTCATCACTTGCTTTACCAAAACTCCAGAAGTTAGAAAGAAAAGTTTTAGACCTAATCAATCTAAGTCAGACTTTCCTAATAACAGTGACCTTGCAAACATCCCCAGGGATGAGCGGCACACTAACATTCAGAGCACTTTCTTTTTAAGATGCAAGGCCAACGATTGAATGACCTGAGTCATCCCAGTACACCTGGCTCTAGAAGCACCTGACCAACGTTCACTGTGATTTTGCCAAGAAAGACATGATCCAGGCTTAACATTCCTGTCTGAAAACTTATCCCTAAAATCAAAGGGAATAACATTGATGTAAAAGCACCTTGTAAGCCTAAACTTGAAATAAACTAGATCAAATCAAATCTGATTGGTTGATTGGAATCCAGGAACATGTTGGAATAGTGAAATCACATTCACTCTAGACCATCACCTGTGGAAGCTCTCTGTTCTCTCTTTCTCATGTACAAATTACTGCCTGTTGAACTCTGTAACTCTTGACAGCCTGTAAGTTGAAGCCCTTCAATTTCTCTCATTCTCTCAGTATGATCTTGTGAATTAGTCAATGATTTCTAGATAGTTTTGAGCAGCACGACTCGATGATGTACATTTTGTGGGTATTATTAGTTGTGCAAGCCAAACGTTTGACTATTGGTTTAAAGTCTGATGCATAAAGTAGCTTATTCTGGCCAAGATTGCCAATTTAGCAGTTGTTTGACTGAAAATTGACAAGAACATTTGTTATTTTCTGATGTACAGTGGCAGGTACAACTAAAATCAATGCTATTTGCAATTAGACCAGCATGCAACAAACAGCATCTATGAAAGGTTGTACAGATAATCCTAAAGAAATTAGTAAAAAAAAAAAAAAAAAGTTAAAAAGCTGACTATTTCACGAGAACAACATTTTGAAAACAAGTTGGAAGATACAGTTTGATTTGGTGAAATTCATTGAAGATGCTATCTATGGCCTATAAACCTTCAAACTTCCAAATCTCAGAACTTTCAAGACTAGTCTAGTAGAAAATGAATGAAAATGTATTAAAATAAATGTAGTTGAATTTCAATGACATAAACAAACTTTGAATTCCAGCTCAACACGAACATTCTCATCTAACATCTACTAGCAAAACTTTTTCTTGTGGGAAGACCATCAGTCGATATGTTTTCAAAAAAGCAGCAAATTTGCATTTAGTCCTTAAAGTTCCTTCACCTGTAGCAGATCAATTGACAATTGAGACTCAAAGCACCTCAGCTCGATGCTCACGGATTCTGTCATTTTTTCCTACCCCATCAGATTCCGTTGTGCTTTGTTTTGCTGAAAATGAAAAACGTGTTTGCCCAAAAACATTCATAATACTGTTCATTTATGAAATGGTCACTTGCCTATTATATTGCCACAAACACAATATAGATTTTTTCTGTAAACTCGTCACTTTTTGGTCAAACAGAATCTTAAGGACAAAATAAGGGTAGACACTCTCTTTTGTGAATAGATTGAAGCATACATCCAGTGACAATGTCCCAGAATATGCCTCACATCACTGAAGAACTGTATAAAAAAAACAACAACAATGCAACGAAATGTTATAAAGGTAGAGTAGAATTTCTGCCGAAGTTTAAGTTGAAGTTTTGACTGTTCTGACAGCCTTGTTTGTGTATTCAGGCACCGTCTTCAGTCTAGCTCTGGATTTGTCAGTGTGTGTGCAAGTTTGATCAGAAATCCACAGTGTTTATCAGAGAAGCTTTGGTTTCTTTGTGAGGATATATGTGTGCAGTAGGATGATGGGATTGTAAAGCTCAGCGGGTGTTCAAATACATTCTAACATGAGATGTTCTTTGTCTACCACTGGTCAAACAAAAACCTAACCTCATTGTAATCTAAGGATTTATAATACTATATAAGTGTATGTCTAGGTATTGTTTTTAATGATTGTTTATTATGTCTTAAAGGTATAGTTCACTTTTGACAGCAATGTTTTAGCTTACCTCAAGGGCATCTAAGATGTAGGTATCTTTGTTTCCACAGTATTTTCATTTTTACCCTGTGTTACAATACTCCTTTAATGCTTTTTTATTCATATCTTCTGCTTGGCTGGGCTGGCATACACAAAAGGCAAACAAACAATCGTCTCTGTGATTGTAATAAATGTGCCTAGATACATCGACAGGTGGTGCAACGGACTGGTATTCAAGACTCAACTGTAGGCTAGGTTTCACCAATACCAGCTCGAGCGCGCTCAATGTCGCCGCCTGGCGCGACGCGAGATATATGTATCTGGCAGCGCGTTCCCTGACTCTCAAAACGAGGCTGCGTCTCGATCAGGGCGCGCGGACTGCATTCCTCCTCATTCATGCCGTGCTGAGACTTCACACTCGGAAAGTGCACGCGGAGCATTACACACTGCTGCCGAGAAAATGTACTCAAGTTTGAGATTTTAAGCATGGCGAGGATAATAAACCAAGGTATCAAGAGCACAAGTAAGTAACCTCGGTTCTTTACGCACAGGCGAGACTTTTCAATGCAGTTTGTTTGGGGGGAAATGCAGTTTTTTGAGATCAGATGCGTGTCGCGCGCTGTTTTCTTCGGCGTTCACTGTGAATGTATCGATACATGATTGCGTCGAAACAGCCGAGGAGTGCGATGTGGACATTTTATATGCGGTTTGACACCTCGGTGTCTATTAACTGACGCATAAAACAAGCTGATATTTGCATTGAACAGCAGTAGTGGAGGACTAACTTGGTCAGATTCCCTGTGGTTTAATTGCTTTACTGAAATAAGTAACAAGCAGGTTATTTGGGTACAGGGGCGTTCTCTGGGAATATGCAGAATGTGAACGATGCATTTGTTGGATAGCGCAGTTTACCTCTGCATATCCCACTTTTAGGGATAATGTTAACTGCATAGTGAGGGATGTGTTATATTGGAATAAACCAGTTCTGTCCAACGCCTCTTAATTGTTCAGTTATTTGGCTATTGGATTGTCAGCATCAATGTGACAGTATGTGGGTTGGCTGTCTGTAAAATCTCACCAAGACTGATTCAGCTGGGGATTCGGGAACATTGGATGTAGGTTACAACAGTTATGCTGCACGAGAAAGGCAGAAATATAAGATTAGACGAATTTTCTAATTGTGATTTGTCACGCATGTAGCTTACTCTCATCATAGCCTTCACATATATCTATCAGATTATAGCCTATAGCTTTTATTTCGGTTAAATTACCTATTTTGCGGAGCAGACATTATCTAGACTGTATTATTTTTTTGTTTGGCGGGCAACTGTTTGACAGTCGAAGGTTGGTTTATGTTGTGAATGAATGTTATGATACTTCATTTTTATTCTAACATGATGCTGTTATTAATGATTTTAAGAGAAAAATAGACTCGTACGTGTTTTCTTGCAGTAAGTGAGCCGAAATATTACGTTTTTGTCAATGTTTTGATCTTGCTCTGCAGCCTTCTAGTGTTCGATATGGCTTTTGTTTTTGTGACTGAGAATAGTTACTTTGAAACTGAAGATTATGTATGGAAAGCTCGGTAAATATAATCATTAGACGACACATTCAGCCTATTGAAATTTGGTCGTTTAACTCAAGACTTCAATGTCTCAGTCAGCATTATCACTCGTAATCGGGCTGAAAGATTTTTTATTGTGGGGAAATAAGAAGACTGTCCAAAAGTTACGTGTTTTATATAAACTCATATTCCGTGTTTATTGAGAGTGGCAACTCTTACCCTTTGGGCACAACGGATGGATCACAGTGATGCCATTTCACTTCCATTCTTGAAGTAGCGCCGAGTAGCCTATGACATGGTTTATTAGTATGGAAATTCCATATATTCCACAATATGGTGTAGTCTAGGCAATCAAATAGCTAAGCGAACAAAAATTTGTTAAGATAAAAATAAACGTGTCATTAGCTTACTGAATAAGAACTGTTTACAACAAAACGTGCATATTTGTCATATTGTTTTTTTTTATTAAGAACAATCCACAAGTAAGAGTCACTGGTAGTTTGATAGAGTTTGTGTTATAAAATGTCCAATTTTATGTCAAAGCGGGTCGCCTCTCTGACACCTGTGAGAAACAAAGTGCGTCATGTCAGAATTAATAACGTTATGAGTCGTTATGCTCCGCGCACTCGGCCTTTGCCGTGATTGACGGATGTTTTAAATATCCCTGACATCCTCACCTTCGAGCTTGTCAGTGCCAGCCTCCTCCTCCCGAGCCTCTACCGGTGTCGAGTGTGCTGTGGGCTGCATTAAACCTCCGTGCCCACTCTACATGATATGAGGCGCTGCGTGCAGACAGAGACAGTTTTGGCGCCTTTCCCCGCACTAAATAACGTCTGGAGCGTTATACTATAGTACTACATCACAATTACAAGTCACTTGCTACAATTTCATTTTTAGTGACCGAGGCTAGTTATCACACTTTTTATTACAGGTGAGCGAATGTATTACCTAGGGTAGGTTTATTTTGGATAGTCAATGTGTGCAAATGTCTTAAAGGCTTATGGATGTATGTATATAGAAAATGTGCCGTTGAACACCTTTTGTGACAACGTGCCCCAATTGTGTTTACCCAACAGTTTAGAAAATAAATATTGGAATTGTACTTGGGAGGAGACAATGAATAAAAAAATGTTATATTTTTATTGTTTTTGAGGTTTTCTTAAAAGAAAAATACAAAACTCTTGACGTTTGAATCTTTATACCCTTGTGCCAACTAGCCTCAACCACCTATACATTGATTAAATAATAAATGAATCATTTTGCCCACAAGCATCTCTCCTTCATATTTATAAGCCTTAGCTGCCAGTTTATCGGTTTCATTTTTCCTTTTCTTGTATAGAGGGCTCTTAGATTCTCATTAGCTACTTGCTTGTCTTTTTAGTTTCCTTCAGTATCGCTTTCTAGGACAGACAATGATATCTTTTTGATTGAGTTTATCATAAAACACAAGTTATTTAATTTACTCTCCCAATCCATTATCAGCTCTTTCTGCACCTCAAATCTGTGGAGACGTCAAACTAACACAATAAAGGCAGTCAGGGCTGAAGTGTTTTGAAGCCGACTGTATCAGATCAGAGGAAGAGATAATAAAATTGTTTCTCCCTTCACTTTTCTTCTAGTATGTACGTTTATATAAGTGTGCGCCAAAGGCTGACAGATGGTTATCCCTCTGAGAAAGCATGTGATATTTAGATACTTCATGCCATAGGAATATGACAGGAATAGAGATTAGGCTACCATTTTATATTTGATCAGTCTTATTAGCAGCCTAATCTGTTGTATTTTAGCAATGCAAAGAGTGCTGTTGCATCAAATTCAGTATCATTTCCCTTTTCTGAGTTATTCTGTGTGTATAAATAGTTTTCTGGCTTGAGCAGTGTTTGGAGATTGAAGGGTCAGGCCATGTTTTGTTTGTCATGGCCGTCGTCCAGAGGAGATGCAGCTTTTCCCGCTCCCTCAACAGACTAGAGGTCTCAGCTGGGAACCTCAGTGTAGGATCAGTGCCACTCATGATGTCAGGACAGCAATGATGAGCTCTCGTTCTTCTTGTGTTTTGCCAGCCCTCTCTTTTTTTTAACCGCCCATCAAAATAAAAGAAAAACCGTTTTAGGAGGGAAAAAATCCATCCCTACCTTTGGTTTGAGCTGCTTTATTTCTTGTTTTGCTGTCAAAGTATGAGGCCGTTAGTGCGATTAGAAGCTTTGGGGTGACCAATGAAGCTTGACTATGGAGTATCTCATTCCAGAAAACATGATTCAGCAGTTTATAATTCAATGATATAAAATGGCACCATGTTCTAGCCTAGGAATAGATAAATCATGTGTTTGTGATGGAGAGAGCACAGTCCGTATTAACTATTTCCCACTGTCGAACAAACCAGCTATGTCTTGATCTTGGAGTCCAACTATTCGACTAGCGTTTGAAATACCAAGTGTGACCTTTGACATCATTGTCAGGCCACATACCATTGTGAATGAAAGTGTCAAGGGCCCTCGAATGAGCTTTTGTAGCCTTCACCCATCTTGGGTTGGCCCCTGACCCCCATATGCATATTGAACATTACATCAGTTACCGTTATTAGCGATACATGCTGTTTGATTTAAATTACAACGTCTGGGACCGTTAATGTACGTCAATACCAGTCAGTGGTGTGGATTTCTCTTTTGGGACAGGGTGGGGGGGACCTTTCCACTCACCTCTCCTTTGTAGTTTCCGGGACAGCGCATCTATCCCTCGCCTTATCGGGGCTTGGATCCGATCAATGCTATCTGCCATCTGCTAGCAGACTACAGCTTTACCACCACCCTCTGTGGAGTTTTCTATGGCCCCTACAACTGATCCTGGACAGCATTTTTACGACACTCACAATGTATTATGTTAAGCATAGTGTAGCTTTCACTGATGCCAAACCAGCTGTTAAGGGTATTATTAACTGGTGCCGTTGTGTTTTTCCTTTTCGCTCGCCTGTTTTGTATCGAGAAGGGCTTTAGGGCTCTTATAATGGAAGTCACAGACTGGCAGCATCTTGGAGCCAAATTTCTTTTTGCTTTATTCAAAGGCGTCCCTCACAACGTATCCCTTCAGGTCTGGTTTGAATCGTGTGTTTATTTACCCCTTCTGATGAAAGTGACTCTGAAAGCATCGCTGTAGGCAATGTGAAGTTAGTAATAAGAATAGCCGCGTGTGTTTATAAGGGTTTGCCTGTTTGGGCTGTATTTGCAAAATCCGTTTCCCACCTTTCGGTTCATTGTGGTTTGAGCAGGTTTGGTCTTTGTGATGCCTCCTTATGGTATAAGCAGTGTGAACTCAATAATAGACTATTTACTGTCTGGTTCATTTCATTTGGCCGTCGTCTTTCCTTGGATACTGCCGCTGAAGCACTTCCTCAGGCAGTTGTGGTTTGTGTACTGAAAGCCAGTTAAATAATGCACGATCTCTAGACTGGCCATGTAAGTAAGACTAAAAGTGATGGGGCCCAAGGGGACGTCCCTCTCCGAGGACCACAGATGCTCTAAAAGTCCTTTCAGGAGGTCAACAGTAGCCACCTAGGTGTGTTTTCAATGTGTAAGAAACTGGATAGTACGTGCAGGATAGGGTGTAGTTTATAATACGGTGCTCCGTGGACTTGTTTCAGCAAATCAATAAATGGATAGAGCTAGCTCTTGATAGATTGATAGATGTAATATTTCATGATATTGAATTGGTTTTAATAAGAGCATTGAGCTTGTTAAGTCAAGGTCCTGGTGTTCAGTCGCCTCTTAATTAATATCTCATTAAAAGACGGCGTGTATTGATCTCTCTGGGTAATGTTCAACCTTTAATACAGCCAGAATGGATTTAGATAGTTGACCTCATAATCTCAACTGTTTTCGCTTGTGGTTCATTCTGGCATTATAGATCGGGACCTTTGCTTTGTAATTTTGGCTGCTGGTGATCTTTGCTTGGCTGGTTTTGGGCTA